TGGGATCATGATTTCTCTTAAAGAATAAACCAAGATCCTTTGTGCCACTAAGATATCTGAGGATATGCTTCGCTCCCGTCTAATGACGGTGAGTTAGATTTGTACTATGTCTAACTAGTATGTTCACTGCAAATGTGATATCAGGCCTGGTGCAATTTGCAAGATACATAAGTGGTCCAATGACACTAAGATATGGAACCTTGGTCCCAATATCTTTTCTCCAATATTTTCTGGATATAGGCTAATTGATGCACTAAAATCCCTAAAGGACGGTGCTCAAGTTGTAAACCTAGACAATATTTGGTCTTACCCAAATCATCCATCTCGAATCCACATGATGAAAATTATATCTCAAATGATTGCATAATTATTTCTGTATCATGATGATATCAAAATAACTAATATACACAATCATGCTTAATTATACACAATGTATGTTGCGATTTGTATTTTGGATTCAGAATGTGAAGTCCATTGGGACTTATACATCCGAATCTATCAAATTCATTTGATATGCCAATTATTGAATTTAGAAAACTTTATTTTCATACATACCATGGGGTATGCTATGCTGGGTCTCTGCGTGAAACCATATGCTATAAGCTCTCATTGTTCACCACCTTGCTTCTGAAAAGAAACTCTGTGAGGGAAGATATTACTGTGGTAATACTTCTCATCATTGAACAAGAGCAATCTCCTTAATTGACACCTTTTAGTTTGACCAAATTTGAGTGTGAAGACACTCTGCCTAGGACTTTTGGTCTGGATCCAGTAAGGTAAAAAAGCAATCTTTGAGGAGTATATGCCGCGACAATTTATAGTCTTTAAATGATTGATTCGGTTCTTGAAATCAATATAGCATGTGAAAATGTTAACCCTTTTGCACTCCGAGTCATTTCTCATATGGAGTCAGAGTGTTCCAATGTCCCAGGATCAGAATTTGGGTGCACCGTTGATCCGGGTGGATTTTGATCCGGGTTTTTGGATGCTCATCTATTTTGGGTGTCTACCAACTTGAGGTTGGCTTGGATTTACTGATTTGGAGGATATTGTCCCCAGTATCCTCGGACGCTTACTTGGAGCATTATCCTTAGGAGCGACCGTACTTCTCCCCCTCTTCTTTGGAAGTGGGAGTTGAATGGTTTTAATTGGTATCTCCGTTCTTTCAGGCACATTATAAGTAGGATAAGAGGATTTTGTGACACCCTTATTATCAGTAAATGTTTCTGGCAGAGTCTTTACAATATGATGCAAATATAAGATATTCTAAACGATTAGGTTTAGAATTTTTAGTACGTGGATGTGAGGATTGCTCTTTTGATTCCTGGCATTCTTAATGTGGTATAAACCTCCCCCTAATGCCTGGAATTCTCCTCAAATGTGACCGAGTTACCTCTTGGGATCCCTAATGCCCATTGGTATGTTGGGGTGGTGATATGGGTTTGTCAAAACATACTCGATGCGCAGATGGAAAATGTTTGGTTGCGGCCAAAGTTTCACGTACATACTGCAACGGAGGGAGTTGTATAAGTGCAGCTTGACGAATTTGAATTAACGATGCGGTGTGTAAGGCCGCATGAAAACAACTTAGTTCTGGTAAATTACAATTCTATTTTAATATGTCATGCAATTTGATTCTCAATAAGAGATTCAATAAAACCATTATTGGTATGGACATAAGGTACTTGATATATAGTACCCAAAAATCAAACTGTTCCATATAAATGGATTTGATCCCGCATCCAGGATAATTTGCTCTAAATTGAAGATTTCGAGCAATGAGTTTGGTATAGTGATGGTTCTCGTGACTAAGAGACACACATGGGACTATGTTATGGATGCATAAATGTGCATTACATAGTATCTTTATGGTCCATAAAATGGTAAATAGAGTCACATGTATGTTCTTGAATTTCTTCAAGAAATGTAGTGGCTCATATTGATGCTATGACCAATAAAATTGACAATAATTCTCAAGTTATCTCTATAGTTGAATAACTAAGGCAAATGTGACAAGTCTTGTTGACATCAAGAGAGAATTATTTGTACGCAACATTGGATACATGTTATGTTTATGTAGTCAAATCCAACTGAGGATGTTTTGTTTAAGTATTGCCATATCCGTTGTTAAGAGAAAATACTCATCTTAGTTGTCATCTTGGGGTTTTCATATGAAAACCACATTGACAGATATCTTTATAATTTTAATTGGGTATATTTTGGAATCATAATACAAGAATGAATTCATGATTATTATTTAAGTACCAATAGAGAGTATGATAGTAGGACGGCCAAAACCCACTATTATGACATCGCGTCAAGCGATTAACAAAATATTTTCTTGTCTCTATGTAAGAGTTTAGGAATATTTTGCTTCCCTATGTATAGAGTTTGTGATGCAACTATCCACTAAGTAAAATTTCTCTTTGCATTTGGATTGACTCCCGTATAGGTCTATATATAGCATGAAGAATATAATGACATTCTTTGTAGATATATAGATTACATACAAGTTAATTAATGGAATATCAAATGTGATGGCGCATTATTGTGATATTCAATTGAAATTGATGACAACATTTTATATTACAACATCAAAATGGGACATAGATACTAGGTATGTTTGTAAATGGAAGACAAATTTTGGTCCCCAAAATGGATCAAGCGAAGGAAATTCGATGATCGTGCTCTCCATGCTCATAAGACCCACTTATTAATTAAGTGTTTGGTTGCTACTTGGTTTTTTCATGAAACTTGTTGTGAACAACTGGCCTTCCTGGTGGTGTCAGGTTGAAGATAGAAGCGTGCTTCATATCTCTATTGTTGAGCCGGATATTTATGTCTAATGAATTTGTAATACAGATCAATTAAATGTTTCAAGGTATGACATTTCCAAGTTGTGTGGCTGTAACATACATAATTGGGACAAAATATAGTTCTATCATATTTGGGAAATGCCTTGACCCTAAAGAATGCATGGGACTGCTACTTCTTTTTGCGTTAAATCTTACCATTAAAGTTCTATGGATGGCATTACTACATGGCATCGAACTTGTAATGATTCTAAAAATTCAATGTACTTCAGATGATAGAGCATCACTATAATGCTAATGATGATTCCTCGATAAGAGTTTATCATACACTTAAACCTAAAGTAATGTAGGAATTAATCTAGAATACATTTGGTAAGTTGTGTACTTTCGCGAAAACGCAATGTTGGGGGATATTTTAGAACAACATAATTATATTCTCAAGTGGACTTAAGATCATAGAGATAAAGTTGTGGCCAATCATAGTTGGTATTGGGCAGAATAACTGCCTTGTGTTGTTCGTATCACTCGTTGAAAGCTAGCTATATAGTGCTTCGATTTGCACCCATTGAGATACACATACGTGTGACCTGGATGTATATGGTGCTTTATTTAAATAAAACTCCGTGTTTAAATTGATCATAAGTGGTGATGCTCTCTTATGAGGAGCATCAAATATTGTCATGAATCCATAGAACATCAAGTTTAACATTACGTCCATTGACCATGTTAGATAATGGTGACCATCAAGAGCAAGAGATCAAACTCTTTGCTGGCTATTATTCTAACAAGGTTTAAACCATAGATTTTCTAAATTTACGCTAAGGGTAAATTTAAAATTGCTATGGTGATGTTGTAATGGGATGCAAAATAAAGACAAGATAATCTTGTATTAATGTTAGTGTAAAAATCTCATATGCATAATAATATAATAGAAGTAGTCACAGTAAAGGTGTAGATCTTAAAATGGGCATAATCTATGTTAACAATAGATGCCAAGTCATTAATGCAAGTTGTATGAACACGTCTTAAGGTAGTCATCAAAGATTGATGTAGACCTTAGTTAATTCGCAAACGAATTGGGTACTCACATTGAGGATACTCACTAAGTTGTGGACCTAGTGTAGATCCTACAGTAGCAACTATTGTGTTACCTTGTGGATGGCCAATAGGAATGCGAACTAATGGTAGTCATCTTTGTAAAAAGATGTAGACCATATGTTCTAATTTATGATGTTGGGTACGCACGTTGAGAATAGTCAATAAGTGTTTACTTAGTGTAGATCCCGCAGTAGCAACTTTGATGCTAACTTGTGTATGGCCAACAAACAAATATAGAACATGCGCATTATACAATTGATGAGAAAATACACATAAAATGTTGCATCCATAATTTAAGAACGTAGTGCTTTAAAATTGAAAAGCTTAAATGGGCTTAAATCAAATGATCGATTGCATATTAAATAAAATGAATTGCAAGATCATGGTCGTAATAGTAAGGATACTTGTTTATTGGATTTGCCATACCATGGGACAAATACTTTGAACAGTACCATAAATAGACATTTTACAATAGTAAAACATCACAAGTACAATAATTGTTAAAGTCAGCGACCTAAACAAATAGTACTTACACATAGAATAACTATGTAGTTTGCTGCAGAGAATTATTAGAAACAAATAGCCTTATGCGAATTCTTTGCAAATAAAAAAAAATAAGTAGCAGGCTTGCCGGCCGTCAGGCCCATTTAGCAAGGATGCTACAGACATGTTAAAACCTGGGGGCTTAATCATGAATCTGGATTACAATAATAATTCATGAAAATCATTATGTAATTCACAAGCAATAAGGGGGATTTTTCTGCAAAAACCGCAGAATCTTATCCCTTCCACGCGGAGGCATTGACGGTTTCTTCCGTCGCCCGTCCTCTCGGCCGCCTCCATGGGGACCGGCCACCGCCGGGCTGGCCTCTGGCCGCCGTAGTGAGGCGCGGGAGGAGGTGTGCGACGTCCTTGACAGCGAGCTCGTTGCCGTGGCTGTGGTCCGGGCGCGTGAGGAGAGGATAGGATCGCCTCCGTCGGGCGTAGGTGCCGCGGGCGTGAGGGCGCAGCCGGCCTCAGGTAGAGCACATCGTCGATAGGGAAACTCCCCCTGTGCCGGATCTGGCTGATTGCAACCTGAGCGACGCGATGGTTGTAGTTGCCGGCTTGCCGCGGCCGAAGTTACGGCTTCCGTATTGGAAGAAGACACATCTGGCATCCTCCAGGAACAAGGTACAGAATGTATCCGTATTTCATACGTTGATAGGTACTTACCTTTGCCATCGAATTAGATATTGTTCCTGTCGGAGTTCATCGTCCTTATTGCTCTGGATTCTCAAGGAAACCGGTGGCCTCCCATTCTTCTCTTGAAGACGATGCGGCCATGGAGGACAAAAACAATGTCATCAGTCATCACAGCAAGGCAAAAGCCATGTTCATGTTCATCCTCTTCTGCCCCAGCGAGAGCGTGCGATGATGGTTCAGAGGCATGCGTGTCTCTGTCGTTCGCAGAGCAAAGTGCCGATAACATGTTAACGCATGAATGTAAATGAACAAGATTTGGGAGAACTGTTGCTTTCATTGATCTCGAAAATATATTTATACAAGTGGAGGGGTGTCACGAAGAGACACGACTGTTCCCAAAAAACATGTCATTTGGAACTAAAATTAACTGTCTAATCCTATCCACTAATCATGTGCTTGATGAATGAGATCACTCGTGAAGAGACGCCTGTTCGTCTGTAGACGTCCGTTCGCGTATAGGTGTCGTTTCACAACAATCTCAACCAACTGGAATAAACCAACATGATACAGCTATTCTTTTTTTATGAAAATGATAGCGAGTGCAACACCTAGATAGCCATGCTTAAATTATTCCAGCCTGACTATTGTACTCCAGCTATTGGCCTGCAAGCTCCCTTCATTCGACGTCCACATGTCAGCAGTATAGGGCCTGTTCGGCTAGTATTAAAGTCGGCTGATAAGCCGGCTGAAGCTGTTTTGTCGTGAGAGAAAAATACTATAGATTCTAGCTAATAAGCCGGCTGATAAGTTCATCCATCCCAGCACCCTTTCCCTCTCTTCTTCAAACCCTGAGACCACTTTCCTCCCCATGAGAAACCACCAATAAGTTTTGCTACATACTGGTGCTTCTGATGCCAACATCAACAAAGATGGCCAGAAGCATGCTTGAGTGGACAAGAGTACCAATGTTTATCATCCTCTCCATCCTTGGTATCACTAGTCAATGTTCAAAAAGGCGGTATTAGGCGCTCGCCCAGGAGCGCTGGGCGGAGGGGTAACGCCTCGCCTAGGGGGATAAGCGGAGAATAGGCGCTGTGCCACCAGATCCAGAGCCGCGCCGCCTGGGAGGAGTCAGCCACGGATCCATTGCCGGGCCACTTCCTCCCGGGACTCCTCCTCCCAATCCAAATCAGATGCGCATCCGTTTGAAGGAGAGGGAAGGGAGCAGAAAGGAAAAGGCAGCCCTTGGTCGTGATGGCATGGGGAGCCTTGAGGCGAAGCTGCCGGCAAGATTGCTAAAGTGAGCCTCTGCCTACCCTGCCTGCACCCGGCCTCCACCTCCAGAGAGAGAGAGAGAGAGAGAGAGAGAGAGAGAGAGATGTCACGGGAAAGAAGACGCACCGCTCAGGCTGCAGATGAGATGTGGATAAGACAGAGCGATTTTGCGACTTGCCCCTCCACTTTGTAAAAATTTCTGCAAATTTTCTTGCTATGATTTCCTTTACTGATTTCTTACATTCTAGTCCCTAGAACTTCTATTTTTTCACAAGATACCACTTCTATTACTGTAGGAACTTCTATTTATTCAGCATTTCAGCTACTACATTTATATATTTATTCAGCTATACATGCTGAATGCAAATTTAGCAAAACGCCTAGAAAAACACCTTGAAACGCCTAGGCTAGCCTAGACTCGCTTAGGCTCTAGGCCATGGGTCGTCGCCTAGAAACCGCCTAGCGCCTTCTTGAACATTGTCACTAGTGTAACCAGCACCAATGCAATTGCATCACAAAAAAGCCCGTTTGTACCTCAAGACAACTACCTCATTAGCTGCGGGGCATCTGGTTCTGTGCAGCTTGATGATGGCAGGACATTCCGCTCTGATCCAGAGTCGGTATCTTTTCTACCCCAATGGACATCAAGATCACAGCTAACAATTCTCCAACTGCTGCTTCACCATTATCCCCACTGTACCTGTCTGCAAGAGTTTTCTCTGATGTTTCAACTTATAGCTTCTTTTGTCTCACAGCCTGGCCGCCATTGGATCCGTCTCTACTTCTTACCTATCCCTGACAAAAATACAACCTCACCTCAGCAACATTCTGTGTGTTACGCTGACAATATGGTTCTTCTCCATGACTTCTCCTTCATAGCCAGTCCCCCTAACCCCATCCTTAAGGAGTATATTGTTGTAACACAGGGAGACACCTCGAAGATCATTTTCACCCCAAAGGACTCAATAGCATTCATCAATGCTATTGAAATTGTCTCAGCACCACCCACCCTAATTCCAAATACCACCAATGGCCTGCCTCCTCAAGAACAATTTGACATCTCCAACAATGCATTGCAGGTAGTGTACCGGCTAAATATGGGGGGTGCACTTGTGACAGCCTTCAACAACACACTGGGCAGGACCTGGTTACCAGATGCACCTTTTTTGAAGCTTGAGGCAGCAGCACAGGCGGCTTGGGTTCCTCCTAGAACCATCAAGTACCCTGATGACAAGGCAGTCACACCACTCATTGCTCCAGCAAACATATACTCAACGGCACAGCAGACAGCATCGTCAAATACCTCGCAAGCAAGATTCAACATAACTTGGGAAATGGAAGCAGAGCCAGGATTCAAGTACCTCATCCGCCTACATTTCTGTGATATTATATTATAAGCAAGGCACTCAATAGCCTCTACTTCAATGTCTACATAAATGGCATGATGGGTGTATCCAACCTTGACCTCTCAAGCTTGACAATGGGCCTTGCAGTAGCCTACTACCAGGACTTTACCGTGGATTCATCCAGCATCATCAACTCCACTCTTCTAGTGCAGGTTGGCCCAAGCACAACCGATTCCAGCAATACTGATGCCATCCTTAATGGCCTTGAAGTCATGTAAATAAGCAACCAAGCAAACAGCTTAGATGGCCAATTTTCACCAAAAACAAGCTCACAACTTGGTAAGAGGATACTAACTGGCATAGGTCTTTCTGTGGCAGTAATTGCAGCTGCATTGGCCATAGTGATGTGCTGCAGGTGAAACCGAAGGCCAGAGTAGCAGAAGACAGACAGCTTCCATTCGTGGTTCCTTTGGCTCAACTCCAACCAGTCCAGCTTCATGAGCAGCTGCAGCAGGCTCTCCAGAAATCGCTTTGGCTCCACAAGGACCAAAAGTGTTTTTTCTAGCATGTTTGCATCTAGTGCTTATGGACTGGGCCGCTATTTCACCTTCGCTGAAATTCAGAAAGCCACAAAAAACTTTGAAGAAAAGGATGTCATTGGTGTCGGTGGCTTTGGGAAGGTTTATCTTGGTGTTCTTGAGGATGGTACAAAACTAGCTATCAAGAGAGGCAATCCATCTTCTGATCAAGGTATGAACGAATTCCTGACTGAAATCCAAATGTTGTCAAAGCTTCGTCACCGCCACCTGGTTTCACTCATTGGTTGCTGTGATGAGAATAATGAGATGATCCTGGTTTATGAGTTCATGTCAAACGGTCCACTCAGGGATCATCTATATGGTGGTACAAACCTGAAGCCTCTATCTTGGAAGCAACGCTTAGAAATTAGCATTGGGGCAGCAAAAGGCCTGCATTATCTTCATACAGGTGCAGCTCAGGGTATAATTCACCGCGATGTCAAGACTACCAACATTCTCCTTGATGAAAATTTTGTGGCCAAGGTTGCTGATTTTGGCCTATCAAAAGCTGCTCCATCCCTTGAGCAAACCCATGTCAGCACTGCTGTCAAAGGAAGTTTTGGCTACCTTGATCCAGAGTACTTCAGACGTCAACAACTAACAGAGAAATCAGATGTATGCTCGTTCGGGGTGGTACTCTTTGAGGTACTGTGTGCAAGGCCAGCCATCAATCCAGCACTTCCAAGAGACCAGGTGAACCTCGCAGAATGGGCCCTTACATGGTACCACAAGGGAGAGCTCAACAAAATAATTGATCCTCACATTGCAGGTCAAATCAGGCCTGATTCACTTGAGATGTTTGCTGAGGCTGCTGAAAAATGTCTTGCTGACTATGGAGTCGACCGTCCATCAATGGGAGATGTTTTGTGGAAACTTGAATTTGCCTTGCAACTTCAAGAAAAGGGTGATGTTGTTGATGGAACCAGCAATGGGATACCAATGAAGCACTTCAACGACTCAGTGTATGAATGATGACATGGAGAAATCTAGCAGTGCAGGGCCACCTGTTCAAGGAAGATAACAATATGACCACATCACCAAGATTTGCAACTGTAGTAATCCAGTATAACAGTATTACATTTTTGTTGTCCAGTCAAGGAAAATGATAGGGGCTCCAGATATAAAGATGTACATTATTTTGTTTCTACTTTGAAGATCTAGTTATTCTTTGGTTGAGGCTATATTCTATGAACTAGAGAGCATTCTCAAACTATTTGTAAACTAAACTGTAGCGTCAAATTCTTAATTTTAATTATTTGACTCTTGGAGGTAAATTAATTGCTTGCTCTACTGAACTTAATTCTAGTTCCAAATATTTGAAGTGTAGAAACTAGAAAGTGATAGCAAGTAATAGTGAAATACAATTGTTAGGATAATTGTGAAACAGGTACTATGGAATTGTATATATGTTATACTGTTATACTGAATATGCTGTGTAACTAACCAACAATAGAACAAGGCACATCAGTTGTAAACCTATGCATTATAAATGATCACTTCTTATCACAAATATTCTACTGTAGCACATATACTATCACTCACTTAAAGTTATAATTGTTATTACCAAAATATCAGGTAATCATGGATCAGAAAAATGATTGTGATATATAGGATTCAATGAATTTTCACAACAATATGAAAAATATGTGTAGGATATGCATTTCAAATTATATTTCACTAGAGAGAATGACTTACAAGGAAAGGATCATATTTGTTTGTACTAGTTAACTCTTAATGGCATGAGCACCGTGAATCAGTACATCAAGGAGCACAATCATATAACAATGTTCAACTCCAAACAGATACTAAGGCAGATACGGGAAGTGTTGCTTTTGATAGCTATATTGAATGTCACATACACTAATCTTTTTTCTTGAACTATGCAGGAGGGCTGTGTGTCATATCATTAAATAGGAGAAACACACAAAACAAAACAAAACAAAACAAAACAAAGGCAGAAGAGCCCCACCTGAACTCACACCCCAAACACCAAACAAAACAAAAAAAAAGGAAGAAAACAGACGCCCAGCTAGGGGACTAAAAAAGGCCCGCATGACATCCCAAGTCTATGACTCAAGGGGAAACAACCTAGAGAGAAGGTCCTAGAGCTTGGACGCTCCGCCAAACACCAAAGGCCACATTCATCTTCCACTGTCTGTAGGAGGCCCTGAATACTGGGAAGAGCTCCTTTAAACACACATGCATTTCTGAAAATTTACACCTTCAAATAACACAATAAGCTGCGAAGAAAGAGGTAATTTGGAGTACTGTTATTTGATCTATCACTTAATTACATATAAAAAATCATACAATTGGGGATGCAGTAAAAGTGGCTCGATTGACTGATGAAGAATTGAAGACTGGTGTAAGAGTGTGACATATGACTTCCAGTTTCTATAATGATATGAATTTTCCTATAAAGCACAGACAAAGGCATTCTAGTCCCAAAGAATAAAATGCATTCATAAGGTTTAATCAGCTGCCTAAGGCAACACCTCAACAGCACAACGCTATGTTAACCAATACCACTGGAAGTTCAAGTGGTGAGATCAGGCAGATGATGAACGTGAATGGAGTAATTACTTAATACAGATCAATACGACAACATTGGACTTGGACAAAGTGGCGCTGATCTTTTTCAGATAGAGGGCACGTTTGGTTCACAGCCACACATTTGGTGGCGAGTGTGGCAGCGCCTAAGCTGTGGTGGTTGAAATCGGCGCCGCAGCTGTGGCGTATTTTTCAACTGGGAAAGACTGTGGCTGCCACGTCCAAACGCTGAACCAAGCAGCAGCCTTCTGCTGGTGGCAAGCCGCACTTGAGGCTAGCAGGCTGTGGCGGGGAAGCAAACACCTCCATAATTATGGTACCACTATGCCACACAAAAATAGAGGTTGATCTGATGGCATTACATGAAGAAAAGAACATCTAGTAATCTAACTAAACATTGCTTGATTCAGATGCTAATGGTTCTTTTCTTTCTGAAGCACGAGCTGTTGACAACATGCTACTTCCGAGACATTTCAATAAAGCTCAGAATGTTAAGTTACCACTAGATCCAGGGTTGGATAGTACTAATTATCTGACTGAGAAACAAGATGAAAGAAGTCAAGAAAACTGAAGAAGATGGAGATTGGAGCATATAGCAATTGTTTTATCCCTTGATGCCCTACAATCATGGGAACTAGACAGATCAGATACCAATATAGTCTAAAGCCAACAACAACAGTTGTTACAGCCTAGGCTAAGGCTGCAAAGGCTATCTTCTGTATATATACTTCGAGAGGGGGAAACTAACACTCCTGGCAACCTGTAAATAATAGATAAAGAAATCACAAAATGATCATGATACAGCCACAGTGTCTTACAGATGAATGTTACAAGGTGCTCACCTTGAGTGCCAAATCTTCATCAATGTTAGATCGATATCTAGCTGAGCCTTCTAGCGGGCAGCTCCGGCTTTTGGAGAGGAAATTAGAATTGCAAAGTGTTGAAAGTTGCAAAAGAACATCTGACATCAAACCAGTCATTCCACTTCCATTCATCATACTATCAGGACATTCAACATCACCGAGATAATCTTCTGACACTGACGTGATGCACTGAAATATAGCCAAGAGCCGCTCAAGAGGAAATGTGCCAGGGCCTTTCAAAAGCATCTCTTCAGCCATGGTGTCCTTCATATTCATCGACGCCTGAGAGCTCCTACATCAAAGAACAATGATGTAAGCATCTAATAAGATGATTAGACTGTTGGCAAGTCAAGAGATGGCATTAGGTGGCATACTTTCTCTTTCGCCTATGGTTATCTGACCCTCCAGTTGAATCGAACAAAGCTGCATCAAGAGTAGCCGGGTTCCTTGAAGCCAGGAAAGCTGACAATAGTAAGTATTTCGCAGACACAGACATGTGGAACTCCAATTCAGTCAGCAAACCATCCCTACTGCCAAACCGTCTTTTACTACTAGCCTTCCCACCAGAACTACGGTCCTTGCATTCATCCACAGAAGTCCTCGTGGGAACACTGAATGTCTCGTTCAAGGCAACAGCCAAATGTGGCTGTATATGTTCAAACAACCTCCTTTTGATGCTCTCATCCGGAACTGCCTTCAAATCCCCCAATGGCTCGCAGTACCTCCTGAAAAGTGGCTCCAGTGCAGCCACCAGTTCATCTACCCTCCTTGTTACTCGGAACAATGGCTTCAGCGCCACACTGCCAAACAACAAGAGGAATGAAAAGAAGAAATAGCACGATTGAGTAATCACGCTCCAACGATGCTCCCAAGGCACTAGCATACCAATGTCAAATATACTGCTTGGTATTTGATTCGACCCATTCCCAGGATCAAATTAGCACAAAAGCCAGAATCACTGATGAATGCCTTACCTAAGGAACGATGAGTACAGCTTCGGATTGGGATGGCCTCGCATCAGGATGTCTCGGACCTCGTCCACTGTGTAATCAGGGAAGTAAATGTGATTCGGCTCGACAGAGCCAGTCATGGAGTAGTACGCATCAGGTGTAGCACTGCTCACGTAGACGAGCACGACCTGCGGCAATCGGAGGAGATCGTAGAGGCGGAGGAGGAGCGCCAGAAGTTGACCGCCCTTGTCCCAGCTCCTAACAACCTCCAAATTATCGAACACCAGATACACGGCCTCGCCCTGCGCGGAGAGGCCAGCAAGCGCGTCGCGGAGCGCGGCGACGAAGTCCGAGGGCTTGTCCGGGATGCGCAGGCGAGAGGAGGACGACGACGAAGGCGGGCTGAGCTGGGTGAGGAGGGAGGCGAATAGGGCGCGAGGGGACGGGAGGGAGCGCAGGGCGGCGTAGGCGACGCGCCGCGGGCGAGGGCGCACGTGGCGGAGAGCGAGGAGGAGCGCGCGCGTCTTCCCCGTGGCGGCGCCCCCGTGGAGGAGAAGCGGTAGCGCCGGCGCGGGCGCCAGGAGCCGGAGGAGGTCCGTCGCCTGCGCGCGGCGGCCGGGCAACGCCTCAAGGAGCGCGTCGACGGTGCTCCGCTCATGCTCCCCTTCCTCCTCCTTTGCGGCGGCGGTGGGGACAGGTTGGCGCCTGGGCGTCGATTTGGGCCTGGATCCGGACGGGGAGTTCGGGGAGACGGGATCGGCCGTGGAGGAGCGGGTGGCGCGGCGCGGGGTGACGAGCTGCGACATCGCGGAGGGTGTCGGCAGTGGTCGGCGTCGGCGTCGGCGAGGATGCCGTCGGAACCCTAGGCGGCAAGAGGCGGGGACCGGGTGGGACTTGAGAGGGGGTCAGGGAATGGCGAGCCGCGAGCGGGACTTCGGGGAATTTTTGGGCGCGCGCCGCAGCGTGGGCGGGCGGGAAGATGACGCACGGTTGGGCCGTTGTTGATTAGCCTTTGTTAGGCCAGTTCCGTTCCGAACGGAAATGGATCCACGGGCGGTCAACTCGGTAATCGGGCGAAGCCCAGAATGCTCATGGGATACAGGGGCAGTGGCAAGCTGGGTTGGGGAAATGGTTGGCCTAAATTGAGAAGAACAATTCTCCTCTGAGGAATGAATGAAGTAGGGCCTTTCTCACCATACCAAGCCCAAACCTAAGCTATAGAGGTCCACAGACCAGAGTTCTTCAAATGAGATTCAGGAGAGAAGATGTGGAAGAGGAAGACAAAGGAAAAGGCTCATACATGGATTTCTCCTGATCTTGAGAGTGGTTTGCACAAAATGAATGTTGGCGCGGCTTTTGCATTTGCTGAAGATTATGGTATTCGTAGTCATAAAAGTGGCTTCAGACTGCCTAAATGTTTATATCAAAAATATTTAAGAAATGTTCATATACACTTCCACCACACTAGAACATTGAACCGATCTAGTGAGGGGGTGTGGAATTGTGGATAACATTAATTAGGACCTGTTTGATATAGGTCTCGTTCGCTTCGCTGAAAAAATAAGCTGAAACACTGTTCCGATTTATTTGTTATGAAAGAAAAAACACT